CCGCACTGTCGGAGGGTCAGTGCTGAGGGAGCGCCGCACTGTCGGAGGGTCAGCGCTGAGGGAGCGGGCACTGTCGGAGGGTCAGCGCTGACGGGGCCTCGGACGATGGTGTGGGAGGTACCTGATGGGAGTTGTGGATCCCTCCAGGCTCCAGTCCGATGGAGAATTGGGTTCGGATTTGGGAACATTCTCAGAACATTCTGGAAATGGGGTGCCTGTGTCGCTGGGTTCGGAATATCCAGTGTCTCCATCAGCCTGGGAGTCTCCGGGCTCCGGGCCCGCTCCATCTGAGGGAGTGAAAATAACTACATCAGACCATTCAGCCCCAGACCTCGAGCCTGTTCCTCCATGCCATTCGATCCTTGGTGACCTTTTTTGACCTGCCTTGACTCCTTAACATGGAACCCCTCTCCTCACCCAACGAAACGCCATCCATCCATCAAACTCCCACCAGTCTCGCCTGTTGGTTTTGGCGGGGTGGGGTGGGTGGTGGGGGCGGGTGTGGAGGATCCAAAAACCCCTCTCACACAACTCCCCCACACCTCCCCAACTCACCCCACCCTGCCGACTGGGCAGCTCCAATCTTAAGTTTCCGCCTATTGACCCTCCGGCCATTCCTAAACCAGAGGGATTGGTTTCCTTGCCCAGATCGAACCCTCGGTCATTCCTTCAGTTCAGCCAAACCACCCACACCCCCTTCACCTCTGACCCTTCAGAGAACAGCAGCCATGGCCCAGTGGCCGACTTAACCCTTTCAGTACCGGGGCTTGTCCTTCCAATCCCAGTACCACCATCGAGGGGGGGGGGTGCATCCTGAGACTGACCACATGCTTGATGAACGCGTTTGACTCCCAGTTCCCATGGGAACACCTTCAGAGCGAACGGGCAGGATTTGGTTAATGCCAGACGAGTGAAGGGTCTCAAATGTCCTGAAGACAATACTCCATCCCTTCTGGAAATAGTGAACTTGGCCTGGCTTTTAGAATTAGAATTCGATTTTGTCGTCATGTGTTCTCAACAAAGGGGGGCAGGTTCATAGTTCCTTGAAAGTCGAGTTGCGGGTAGATAGGGCGGTGAAGGTGGTGTATGGTACGCTTGTCTTTATTGGTCAGCGCGTTGAGTATAGGAGTTGGGAGGGTCATGTTGCAGCTGTACAGGACATTGGTTAGGGCCACTTTTGGAATACTGCCTTCAATTCCGGTCTCCCTGCTATAGGAAGGATGTTGTTAGACTTGAAAAGGTTCAGAAAAGATTTACAAGGATGTTAGAGGGTTTGGAACTATAGGCAGAGGCTGAACGGTCTGGGGCTATTTTCCCTGGAGCGCAGGAGGCTGAGGGATGACCTTATAGAGGTTTATAAAATCATGAGGGGCATGGATAGGGTGAATCGACAAGGTCTTTTCCCCAGGGTAGGGGAGACCAAAACTAGAGGGGCATAGGTTTAAGGTGAGAGGGGAAAGATTTAAAAGGGACCTGAGGGGCAACTTTTTCACACAGAGGGTGGTGCGTGTATGGAACGAGCTGCCAGAGGAAGTGGTGGAGGCTGGTACAATTACAACATTTAAAAGGCATCAGGATGGGTACATGAATAGGAAGGGTTTAGAGGGATACGGGCCAAATGCTGGCAAATGGGATGGGATTAATTTAGGATATTGGGTCAGCATGGACGGGTTGGGCCGAATGGTCTGTTTCTGCGCTGTATGACTTTATAAACACACAGTTACAGTGAAAAGTGCACAAAGTTGTCATGTTACAATACAAAACCAGAAAGTTTTGAAAAGGCAAGTGACAAAGAAACAGAGACAAAAGTAAAAGGGAAAAAAAAATCCAGATCTTAAGGTCCTTATCCAAAAGAAAAGGAGAAAATCCAGGTTTGGAAACCTTATGCCCCTGGGCCTGATCTGGAATTTCAGTCAGCCTCCTCTGGAACATACTCCAGCAATAGCTTTGCAATTGGTTTAAAGTGGGTTCTTTCGCCTTAACCTTTTCTCGTAGCTAAAACCGCCTTGAAAAGCAGTTTCTACACCTTCTGTAGGACCTCCCTAACATGGGCGACTACAAACACTAACTTAAGGGACTTTCCTGATGCGCTTCTGCTGGTAAATAAACACGACAAAACCTGACTGTTTAAAAAAATATGCCAGGCAGAAATATTCCTCACCATCTCCGTTGGTTAAAGTCGATTCTCCCAGGCAATTGTTCGGGACCAAGGGGACACAGCGTTTGTGACAATTGAACTTGCAGTCTTGGGGAGAAAGAGACAGAAAGCAAAATGGCTTCAGAAGCAAGCGGGAAATTATATTCAAACACAGTGAAACGCTACTATTCCGAATGCACCTCACCAGCACTTGATACTGGAATGCACCAACTAGGAGAATCCCATGCTTCATTTCTGGCCCTGAAGAAAGTAGGCCCCGCCAGACAGTTGACCCACAGCAAAATCCCCCACACTCAGCAATGTGGGATTGACCCAGATTATCTGTGTTTAGTGTTGGTTCAGGGGTACATCTTGGCCTCAGGACCCCAGGGAGAACTCACCCCTGCCCTTCCAGATAGTGGCTGTGGGATCTTTTACACCCCTACCCCACCCTGACGGGGCAGACCGGGTCTCAGTTGGGTGTCTCATCAGAAAGACAGCACCTAACACAGTGCGGCGCTCCCTCAGCGCCGACCCTCCGACAGTGCGGCGCTCCCTCAGCGCCGACCCTCCGACAGTGCCCGCTCCCTCAGCGCTGACCGTGGGGTTCGTGCCTATATGTGAATCTCACCTTTACACTGCATGCCTTGTCGGAATAGCCCCTTGAGGAGGTGTTTGCAGTGCTGACAGATGGTAGGCCGTGTGTACGAGTGGATATGGAATGTGTGTGGCACCTTTACCCTTGCCATCTCCTGTCTGTCCACCCAAATCGGGCGTCCACTGAAGGATGGAGTTCGACCACCAAACGTAACGTGTTGGGAGCAAGCCTGTGGATGAGGAGATCCAGGGTTTAGTGAGGAAAGAAGGTTAATGGGGAATTATTATCATGGATATGCGATTACCCCAGTCTTAGTGTGTGAGAGCCTATACTCCAGTGACAGTCTGTGTGGGTGTGTGAGAGAGAGAGTGAGAGACGGGGTGTGTGCACGCGAGAGAGACGGGGTGTGTGTGTGTGAGAGACAGGGGGTGTGTGTGTGTGTGTGTCTGTGTGTGTGTGTGTGTGTGTGTGTCTGTGTGTGTGTGTGTGTGTGTGTCTCTGCTGTGCGTGTCTGTGAGAGAGTATATGTGTGTGTGTCTGTGTGTGCATGTCTGTGAGAGTGTGTCTGTGAGAGTGTGTGCATGTGTACGCGTGCGTGTCTGTGAGTGTGTGTGTGTGCACGTGTGTGTGTCTGTGCGTGTCCGTGTGTCTTTGTGTGTGCGTGTGCATCTGCGTGTGCGTGTGTGCGCGTGCGCATGTGTGTGCGCCTGTGCATGCGCAGATGGTGCCTGAGGTACCTCTTCGCGGTTGCTGGTACTTTCTGCTGACCGGTTGTGGTTGGAGTTGCCAGTCGGGCCTAGGCCTAGGCTTTGGCGATGTCTCCTCTTGCAGTCGTTTGGAATGTTAAATGCACATCTCTTGTGATAGTCCAGGCCACAGCCTGCGAAACAGAGAGGAGCGGCTGGTCAGAACCCAGGTCAGCCTGGTCAGTGGGGGGTGTGGGGGAGAACAACGGAAGGAGATTTGTGTTGAATGACCCAGCATCGCTGGGTGTCCTTCAGCCTACTTCCTTGGACAGGCTCGTCCCTGTCACCGATCCCATGGCCTCTTTATTCACCAAGTCAGGTGCCAAGCACACGCCTCTGAACAATAAGAGGTGGCCAGGGGAGATCTCACCGCAAGAAGGGACAACCAAGACAACCACCAGCCCCACCGTCACCGCGGTTTCCTCACCGTCACACTTCAGGCCTTGTCGTACCAGGCCCCACAGCATCTCACCGCAGGAGTTGCAGAAGGCCGGGGCCCTGTAGGAGTGTACGTAGAGCACGTGGGGCCGGATGTTACTGTCTCCGATGGACACCAAGCCTGGGGAAGGAGGCAACAAGAGAAAGAGGCCGTGAGTGACAGAAGGGCAAAACAGCCAACAGGAGGCCCGGTTAACCAGCTTGTCCCTAGGCCGCAGGCTCCACCTGCTGAGTCAGAGACTCCCCTAAGCGCTCTGACTGTGCCCTTACCTTTGTTCATGGATTCCAAGACAGCTGATAAGTTTGAAAAATCAAGGCACGGACCTTTTCTAGTGTGGAGAGAGTTTATTGACACCCTCAGTCCTTGCCTCTTCTTCCATCAGAGGTGCTCTCCATTTTGACACTGTTTTTCTGTTTACGTTTTCCCCAAACCACCAAATCACCCAGGTCTTCTTTTCCTCCGGGTAGGGGAGTCCAAAAATAGAGGGGCATAGCAAAGGGGAAAGATTTGAAAGGGACCTGAGGGGCAACTTTTTCACACAGAGGGTGGTGCGTGTGTGGAACGAGCTGCCAGAGGAAGTGGTGGAGGCTGGTACAATTACAACATTTAAAAGGCATCTGGATGGGGCCATGAATAGGAAGGGTTTAGAGGGATATGGGCCAAATGCTGGCAAATGGGACTGGATTAATGTAGGATATCGGGTCAGCATGGACGAGTTGGGCTGAAGGATCTGTTTCTGTGCTGTACAGCTCTAAGACTCTAAATACTTTCAATTACCTTTGTTCAATGTTGCAGCAGCTAAAGTACTTTTAACCACCTTTTGTTTTAGCTCCTTTGGTTTCCCAGGCAAATGTCCATTTAGCCATAGAGTCACACAGCATGAAGAGAGACCCTTCGGTCCAACCAGTCCATGCTGACCATAATCCCAACCTAAACTAGTCTCAAATAAAAACCAAGAAAAGCTGCGGATGCTGTAAGTCAGGAACAAAAACAAAGTTGCTGGAAAAGCTCAGCAGGTCTGGCAGCATCTGTGAAGGAAAAAACAGAGTTAACGTTTCGGGTCCCGTGACCCTTCCTCAGAACCGGACCCGAAACGTTAACTCTGTTTTCTCCTTCACAGATGCTGCCAGACCTGCTGAGCTTTTCCAGCAACTTCTGTTTTTGTAAACTAGTCCCACCTGCCTGCTCCTGGCCTATATCCCTCCAAACCTTTCCTATTCATGTACTTATCCAAATGTCTTTTAAACGTTGTAACTGTACCCCCATCCACCACTTCCTCAGGAAGTTCATTCCACACACAAACCATCCTCTGTGTTAAAAATGTGCCCCTCATTTTTTTTATATATCGTGTCACCTTAAAAATATGCCTCCTAGTCTTGAAATACCCCATCTTAGGGAAAGGACACCCAGCATTAACTCTATCTTTACCCCTCATTATTTTATAAACTTCTATCAGGTCATCAATTCTCCAGTGAAAAAAGTCCAAGCCTTTCTTTATAATTCAAACCTTCCATTCCCGGCAACATCCTGGTAAATCTCTCCTGAACCCTCTCCAGCTTGATAATATCCCTCCTGTAACAGGGCGACCAGAACAGGACACAATACTCCAGAAGAGGCCTCATCAATGTCCTGTACAACCTCAACATGATGTCCCCAACTCCTAAAGTCAAAGGTGTGAGCAATGAAGGCAAGCATGCTAACCCCCTTCTTAAAGACCCTGTCTACATGTGACGCAAGCTTCAAAGAATTATGGACCTGAACCCCTAGGTCTCTCTGTTCTACAACACTACACACAGTCCCTATCATTAATTGTATAAGCCCTACCCTTGTTTGTTAAATGTAATACATTGCATTTTTCCAGACTGAAATCCATCTGCCATTTTTCAGCCCTTTGACCCATTTGATCAAATTCCCTTTGTAATCTTAGAAAACCTTCTTTACTGTCCACTATGCCAAATTTGATGGTGTCTGTAAACTTACTAACCATGCCTTCTATATTCTCATCCAAATCATTTGTATAAATCTGGCCCTATTGATTTGGATGTGACTACACTGTCTGCAGTTATACCATTGATCCACAGTTACGCCTGACCTGTTTTCCTCACAGTCAATTCTCTACAAGTAAAGGACCATCAATCTTCGCCTCCTTTTTGAGATGTTTCTTTATCCCACGTGCAGCAGACCAGAAAATCATCAGTGTGCATCATAAAGTTGCCTGCCAGTTTCTGGTTGCAATACCAGTAAAATGTGCCTGGATTTGCTTAGACAACAATTCACTTTCAACAAGACAGCTAGAACTCAGATCCAACAGACCCATAAGACCATAAGAAAAAGCAGGAGTTGGCCGTTTAGACCCTCAAACCTGCTCCTTCATTCAATAGGATCCAACATTCCTCACATCCACTTTCCTGCCCTTTCCCAACAACCCTTGATTCCCCGACTGATCCCTATCGATCTCAGCCTTAAATATACACAAGGACTCTACCCCCGCAAAGGTATCTGAGTTCCAAAGACTCGCAGCCCCCTGAGAGAAGGAATTCCTCCTCATCTCAGTCGTAAGTTGGCGTCCCTTTATTCTGAGACCATGCCGTCTGGTCCTAGACTCTCCCAGGAGGGGAAACATTCTCTCAGTATTGCCCCCTATATGTTTCAATGGGCTTCCCTCTCATTCTCCTAAACCCCAGTGAGTAGATTCCCAACTGTTTCACCTTTGCTCATAACACAATCCCTCCGAACCAAGGATCATCCTTGTGAACCTTCTCTTAACTGTCTCCAATGAAATGATACCTTTCCTTAAATAAGGGACCAAAGTTGCTCACAGTGCTCCAGATGTGGTCTCACCAGCACCTTGTACAGCTACAGTAAGACTTCCCTACACTTATACTCCGACCCCCTCGAAATAAGGGACAACAGTGATGGGTCATTCAGGCCCAAAAACACACACTTGCATTAATTTCTTCCATTTCACTTCTGGGTCCATTTCCCAAACTCAGACTGTCTTCCCTGTCCTTTCGCATCCTTTCCCCCATTTTGCCAAACCATTGGTCTTTCTCCCATTGTCCCTCAATCTCCACGTTTAGCTGGCCATGAAGTTTGGCTTTCCCAGCTCTCCTCCTCACGGTGCCAATGCCTCCATCACTGAACCCCTACCAACACACAGACTTAACTCTTAGATCAACCTTTGGCAGTGACAGGACTGGCTCAAAGGGAGGAGACAGAGGGTGGTGGTGGAGGGTTGCTTTTCAGACTGGAGGCCTGTGACCAGCGGTGTGCCACAGGGATCGGTGCTGGGTCCACTGCGTTTCCTCGTTTATATAAATGATTTGGATGTGAACATGGGAGGTAAGGTTAGTAAGTTTTCAGATGACCCCAAAATTGTAGGTTGTAGTTGACAGTGAAGGGGGTTACCTCAGAGCACAACAGGCCCTCGATCAGATGGGCCAATGGGCCGAGGAGAGGCAGATGGAGTTTAATTCAGATAAATGTGCGGTGCTGCATTTTGGAAAGGCAAATCAGGGCAGGACTTATTCACTTAATGGTAAGGTCCTGGGGAGTGTTGCTGAACAGAGAGACCTTGGAGTGCAGGTTCATAGTTCCTTGAAAGTGGAGTCGGGGTGAAGAAGATGTATGGTACGCTTGCCTTTATTGGTCAGTGCATTGAGTATAGGAGTTGGGAGGGTCATGTTGTGCCTGTACAGGACATTGGTTAGGGTCACTTTTGGAAAACTGTGTTCAATTCTGGTCTCCCTGCTATAGGAAGGATGTTGTGAAACTTGAAAGGATTCAGAAAAGATTTACAAGGATGTTGGAGGGTTTGAACTACAGGGAGAGGATGAATGGTCTGGGGCTATTTTCCCTGGAGCGTCGGAGGCTGAGGGGTGACCTTATAGAGGTTTATGAAATCATGAGGGGCATGGATAGGGTGAATAGCCAAGGTTTCTTCCCCAGGAGGTGGGGGGAGTCCAAAAGTAGAGGGGCATAGGTTTAAGGTGAGAGGGGAAAGATTTAAAAAGGACCTGAGGGGCAACTTTTTCACACAGAGGGTGGTGTGTGTATGGAATGAGCTTTAAATTGAGGGGTGATAGATATAGGACAGATGTCAGAGGTAGGTTCTTTACTCAGAGAGTAGTAAGGGCGTGGAATGCCCTGCCTGCAAAAATAGTAGCCAACTTTAAGGGCATTTAAATGGTCATTGGATAAACATATGGATGATAATGGAATAGTTTAGGTTAGATGGGCTTCAGATTGGTTTCACAGGTCGGCGCAACATCGAGGGCCAAAGGGCCTGTACTGCGCTGTAATGTTCTATGTTCTATGTTCTAGAGGAAGTGGTGGAGGCTGGTACAATTACAACATTTAGAGGGCATCTGGATGGGTCCATGAATAGGAAGGGTTTAGAGGGATATGGGCCAAATGCTGGCAAATGGGAGTAGATTATTTTAGGATATCTGGGTCGGCATGGACAGGTTGGGCCGAAGGGCCTGTTTCTGTGCTGTACACCTCTGACTCTAACTGCAAAGTCTTCTCAAATCCTAACCATAAACACCAGCTGCAGAAAGAATTTTTAGAATTCTCCCGGAAAAGCAAAGAAATTGACTCGGCGTGTAGCTCTGAAACATTGACAGTGAACGCTGCTCACAGCCTGCCTGTACCACAGTGATATTCATCTCTAACGTCGGCAGATGGCTGGAGGTTTTATAAAACACCAAAACTTTCCCCGTGTGATTTCTTCCAAAACCTCCACCACCAGAGGGACTTTCTACTGCTGTTTTCGTACATTTCTCTAAAGTCGTAAGATACCACACCTTCCTCCGCCCTTTTCCCACCTTATCAACAGTCCAGTTTCTTAACTATTGCTCCATTACGTTGAGCACACTATAGACGAGACTAGAGTAGACCAGAAATTTATTTCCATGTGTACTTTTACATGAACAATGCACGCCTCAGGAGGCTTAGGAAATTCCACACGTCCACAAGGTCCCTCACAAACTTTTACAGATGCCACATACGAAGCGTACTGTTTGGGTGCATAATGGCCTGGTACAGTAACTGCTCTGCCCTGCACCGTACGAAACTGCAGAAGGTGGCGTGCACAGCCCAGACCATCAAGGAAGCCAAACTTTCATTCATTAAACTCCATCTACACTTCTCGCTGCTGCAGAAAGGCACCCAACATCATCAAAGACCCCTCCCACCCCAGTAATACCCTCTTCCAAACTCTTCTGTCAGACCGACAGCTCCTTCCCTGCTGTTATTAAACTGCTGAATGGAACTCTCTAACTTTAACCTTTCCATCTTGCACCCCCCGTGCAGTGTAGTCCTGTATGCCTCGCTCTGTCTGAGCTCCCTGCGATCGGTGTTTCCAGGTTTGCAATGATCTGCCTGTACTGCTCGCAAAACAAAACTTTTCACTGTACTCAGGTGCACGTGACTACAGTCAATCCAAACAAAAATACTATCAACGGTTTTAGAAATCTTCCCACACCGGAGCCTACATCAATCATAGAAGTCATACATAATCAGTTTTTAAAAAGTAAAGTTAAAATAAAGTTCATTGCCTTTCTCGTGCTGGTGGGGGTGCACATGAGAATCCTGAAGAAGGGTCACTGGGCCTGAAGCATCAACTCTGTTTCTCTCCCCACAGACCCCGCTGAGTTTCTCCAGCACTTTCTGTTTTGGTTTCGAATTTCCAACATCTGCAGCTCTTTCAGGTATTCGTCTACTTTCCCTGGGGCGTCGGAGGCTGAGGGGGTGACTTTATAGAGGTTTATAAAATCATGCGGGGCATGGATAGGGTGAATAGCCAAGGTCTTTCCCCCAGGATAGGGGAGTCCAAAACTAGAGGGGCGTAGGTTTAAGGTGAGAGGGGAAAGATTTAAAAGGGACCTGAGGGGCAACTTTTTCACAGAGGGTGGTGCGTGTATGGAACGAGCTGCCAGAGGAAGTGGTGGAGGCTGGTACAATTACAACATTTAAAAGGCATCTGGATGGGTACATGAATAGGAAGGGTTTAGGGGGATATGGGCCAAATGCTGGCAAATGGGACTAGATTAATTTAGGATTTCTGGTCAGCATGGACATGTTGGGCCGAAGGGTCTGTTTCTGTGCTGTACAGTTCTATGACTCTATGGTCATCTTAGTGGTTGATTTGGGATTCTACATGTGCTGGGATGGCTCGAGGGAAAATTCTTCATCTACGGTCTGGTTGAGGGAGTTTGCAGCCTCAGAAAAATTTGGGAGTGGTTTGTAGTCTCCTGTGGCTGACAGTATCACCCTCCCCCTGCTCCAAACCTCCCACATCACCCATTATTCCAAAGGCCTTCCTACACACTGTCCGAAGAGCAGCTCATCGCAAAGTGGCACATCCCAAACATTTGTTGACCGTTCTCCGGGAGTTCCTGTCTCGTGGGTCCCCACATTTCTTACAACTTCTGGAAGAAACATCTCCGCTCTCCCTCCTTCTGGTGAACGGTCCCTTTTGAAGTCCCATGGTGAAGTCTCAAGCCCTGCATCTGGATGTTGTGCGGACGCTGCCCTATCAAACCTTTGGTCTTTCTGCTGAATGGTCCATTTCAGACTCAAAAATTAGCTGGAAGTGAACACATCCCAGAGATTTTATCTTCGGTGTCCCTTCCCAAAAAGTTGTTCCCTTCTCCAAACAGGCACAGACACACTCGCTGCGTTCAACCATTTGCTACATTAGGAATGTTCCTGTTGAACTATCTGGGTATTATCTGAGCAACATCAGCTCTGATTTCTCTCCACAGATGCTGTCAAACCTGCTGAACTTCTTCAGCAATTTCGGTTTCCACTTCTGATTTACAACATACGCAGTTCTTTCATTTCTTTCTTTACGTGTTATCTGTTCAAGTCCGCTGTATCTCAGAGTGCAGGAGAGGCCCTGCACTGATAGCCCCCTATAGGATATCCATCCTGCTTTCTACATGTGTCACAGTCTGAAGGGCACTCACTTTCAAGTAAGTCATCTCTATTGCAAATGCAGACCGTTGATTATAACACAACGTCTAACATTTCCTCACGTCCCATTCCTGATGCTCTAGCTCAGAGAATGCCTCACATTTGATGACCCCTGTTCTTTGTTTTGTCCCACCAACCATACACTCGATTTTACAAAATGTTAGCAACAAGTCGAATCCCAGCACAGGAGGACCCAGCATTCATCAAACTTAAACTCTATTTCCTTGCCCTGATTTGCTAGGCTTCGGGTGAGTGAGTGTATCAACTTGCTCAGTCTTAACCCTCTCGCTCATTCCCACACCTATGGCTTGCCCTCCTGCACAATTCAAGCGAGCTCCTCGTTTGTGAAGAGGCGAACAAACCCGATAGCGAGCCTCTGGCCTACCCGAGGTTGGAGTTGGGGGGGGTGGGGGTGGGGTGTAGAAACCGTGACCCCTCCCCACCACCCCATCCCGATCTCACCTGTAATGACAGCCTCGATGAGGTCCCCCTCGTGGATGACATCATCGGACAGGAGTCTCTGTAGGATGTTCTTAGAGCTCGGGTTGTGTCGGAAAAGCAGAATGTGGTCTTTAGTAAGTCCATACACTGCGGTGTCTGCAAACTGGGGGCAGGGAGGGAGGACGAGGTTAATTCAATGTTCCACAGTGAGAGACAGACAGAGAGAGAGACAGACAGAGAGAGAGACAGACAGAGAGAGACAGAGACAGAGACAGAGACAGAGACAGAGACAGAGAGAGTGAGAGACAGACAGAGAGTGAGAGACAGAGAGAGACAGAGACAGAGACAGAGAGAGAGAGAGAGACAGAGAGAGAGACAGAGAGAGAGACAGAGAGAGAGACAGAGAGAGACAGATGGAGATATAGACAGACAGAAAGAGGGGGAGAGAGAGAGACAGTCAGAGAGATATAGACAGACAGACAGAGAGAGGGGGAGAGAGAGAGAC